AAGACGTATATATTATAGGTTATATATATACTGTAACATTATGTGCTTGGCAGCACAGTCGCTTTGTAGACAAGAGACATGAGATGCATCTTTTGCTCTGTCTGGTTACATCTGCTACATCCCATTCTCCTATAGGCATTTCTACACTCTATTACAACCTTATGGGACCACAGATATATATATAGTCAGATGTTGCCCAAATGGGCGTTATGCAGTGCGTGACTGTATTTCAATCTTAATACTTTGGTTCATGCAGAAAAATCATCTAAGGTAATTCTCTTGGAACCACCTGTAGCACTTTTGGGTGAATTCTTTTCCTTCAGCCTTGTTTTCGCCACTTTGTTATTCATGTTATTACAAAAGAAATGTTTGATCCACATTTCATCCAATTAAAAAACTTTCCTTTGGCTTATGATTCTGTGGCTCAAGTTCAAATCCTACCTTCTCCCAGACATTTAACATTATATCCCTGTTGATGTCATCAGTTTCAGTCAGGCAGATCTCACGATTTACCGGAGAAAGTTTCCAATAGGAAATTCTAAGCCTTTGCCTGAAACTAAAGCAATTCCTCCCCATCCCTTAGGTATCAATTAAAAATAATCTCTTCCAGGAAGTCTTTCATAATTAATTTAGAACAGCTTGCCACACCATGCAATTCTCTTGTTTTTTTCCTCACATGTCGTTATAATAGAGCTGAAGTACCATCATTTTTGTGTATGGAGTTGTGTTTATTACATGTACACATATTTAGATTCAAGTTTGCACATCTTTTCAGTTAGATTATAAACCTTATGTTTCATATTATGTACTGTGAACTTTCTGGGCATTTGAATGATGAAGATATGAACTTTAGTAGCATGAATTAAAGTATTAATATTCTTGTTCAAAAATTGTGTGTGTGTGTGTGTATGTGTTTTTTTTTTTTTAAGAAAAGAAATTTTTCAGATTTGGTGCATGTGACTGCACACAACCACTTGTCAGTGAGCTAATTAAGGGGAGCAGCAGGGAAGAATAGACAAAGCTGTGTGTCAATTACAACATGTTCTACTTGCTTAGGAGTGTTATTTTACAGTGTGCCTTAAGAACCAGCATCCACATTTTTAAGTTAGTAATAATGTCTCATGTTGGAAGGGTATGAGGTAATTGATGCTCTCATACATCTGCTGTTAGGTACATTTATATAAATTTTCTGGAGGGCAGTTTGGCAATGTGTATCAACAAACTTGTGACTCAGAAATTCCTACTCTGTTAATTTATCCTAAAGAATTAGTTGAGGATACGTGCAAAGATTAGCTTAAAAGATATTAAACAGCATCGTTTATCAGAGCTAGCAAAAAATGTGGAAACAGTCTGAATGTCCAACAATAGAGAATAGGTTAACTGAAAGACTTCATTATCTGTGTTTGGATCCCACTGCTAGCAATTACTTGCTGTATGACCTTGGCAAGTCCCTTAATCTCTCTGGCCTTCAGTGTTCTAATCTTTAAAATTATAACAATGTCTATGTCATGGAGTTGTGGTAATTGAGTGAGAGAAAACATGCCTGGCCTGGCTTACAATAAGTATCTCTTATTATTATGATACACCCATGTAGTATCATTTTCATCCTTTTAAAATGAGTGTTGCAGATGAATTTTGACATGAAAAGTTGCTCAGGATATATATATGATTATTGCTATTTTAAACTACAAATAGTGTATGTAGTAGGATCCAGGTCTGGATAAATAAACACTGAGGTTATTTATTAACTATGGTTGTCTCTGGATGGTGGAGTGATGCTGTTGTTTTTCTACTAATTATATTTCATACTGAACTTGCATTGCTTTAGAATAAGGAAAAAAATGAGTCCATTTCTGTTGTGAAAAATTAAAGGGTCAGATGAGAAGAATGCTGGGCAGCAGGTGACAGATGGCCTAATTTTATAATATTATATAATTTTATATTTTCCAAATTGTTATCTATGGGTAACTCAACATTGAATTCTAGAAAAGGTTGATGGTGGTGGTAGTGGTAATAATGGGCAGTTATAATTTATTGAGCACATACTATGTCAGGCACTGTGCTAAGCATGTTATGTACATTATCACCATTATCACATGTAATATAAATAGATGCTTGAAAGAGAAGCCACTGTTCTGTTCATAGCACCATTCCATATAGCAATAGATCATGTAACCAATGTATTTCTTTTACATAAGCTTTATCCAGAAAAGTTTCCTGATTTTTAGGTCCCCATTCTGACTTTTTGGTTTGGTTCTATCCTGGCTTTTCCAGGAGGGGTCAGCTAGTAGCATACGGGTTTGACTTAGAAACTTTACTTGAACTGTCAACCCTGGAACATGATGAATGCATCCAGTCTGAGTTATCAACCAGTTGATAACCCACAGCTGTTAGACCCCTCCTTCTTTATCCTCATTCTTGGTCTAGAACTGAACGAGGTTCAGGATGAGTATCTGAGTATATCTAGTCCAAATGCAAATCGATGGCGCTGTTAGATGTAATCTCCTCTTCTCGTACGTAAGATCCACCAGAGTAGACCGTTTGCCTGCAGTTGAAACCATTTCAGCCTGGCATTCAAGGCTTTCCATCATCTTTACCTCCCAGCCTAAGAATCTTCTGTCCTCCGGGGACTGGGCTTCCACCTGTTGTTGTTGTTGTTGTTATTTGCCGTCGAGTCGACCCCGACTCATAGCGACCCCTCCTTGGGTTTCCGAGGCAGTTATCACTATGGAAGTAGGATTGCCCAACCTTCCTTCCGAGGAGTGGCTGGTGCCTACACAGGATGAATCACTTTTCCTAAACTAGCCACACACTCACTTTCTGTTGCTTTTGCTATCAAACTCCTTATCCTACGATGCTTAACTCACATGCCACCATGTCTTTGTCATCTGTATCCCACCCTCTTACACCCATTCGCTTCATCTTTGCTTTTGAGGCTCACCCCACTTTGTCTCCATTTAACACTCATTCCCTTGTCCCTTATATTTGCTTCCATGTCTGGTTTCCCCAGTGGGTTGTAATAGGTCTCCAAAGGTAATAACTATGGCTTATCAGTTGTTGTCTTTTAAAATCTCTCCTTCCCATGGGAGCAGAAAAACAAAGCTCCTTAAACATAAGGACTCAATCAATATTGAACTACTTAAGGTTTAGCCATATTTCCATGATACTGAACTTTATTGTAAGGAGCTCTGGTGGCATAGTGCCTAAGGCATTTGACTGCTAACCAGAAGGCTGGTGGCAGCCGGTCCTCGGAAGGAAGACTGGGCAATCTACTTCTGTAGAGATACTGCCTCAGAAACCCAAGGAGGGGTCGCTATGAGTCAAGACTGACTCCACGGCAGCGAGTTTGGTTTTGTGTGTTGTAGTGACGGGGTAAACCAAAAACCCATTGCTGTCAGATGAATGGATTCTGACTCACAGCACCCCTAGAGGACAGAGTAAAACTGCCCCATAGGGTTTCGAAGGCTGTCAAGCTTCACAGAAGCAGGTGCCACATCTTTCTCCCAAGGAGTGGCAACCTCCAACCTTCCGTTAGCAGCTGAGCACTTAACCACCAGCCTACCAGGGTTCCTGGTGAGAGAAGGGTTACCAGCTAGCTGTTGAATATAATTTACATGCACTGAATTTTCAGTTACCCACCACGAATTTCCTAAGGTACTTTTACAACCTTGCCTGTTTCCTCCACCCTCTGACTAGCAAATAATTAGAAAAAAAAAAAACCCTGATTTTTGCACTTGCTTAAGCAAAATATAATTAGTGAGGCAATATGCTCCTATAAAAGTCCTGTGATACATATTAAAATCCAATAAAATTCAGCTTCTCTGTTTCATAAAAACATGTATTTGTCCCACACCCATTTGTTGAGCACACGTCTTCTCCTGTTGCCTCTCTGGCCACCATCCACCTCCTGGTTTGAGCTAGAAGCCTGGGCCAGTCCTTAACCCTTTCCACTCCTGACCCTCTCTAGCATCTGCTTCCTTCTCTTTATCCCTTCTTTTTCTATCCAGAGCCGATCTTCTTTTTAGGGGTTTTAAAACTTAACCCTGTTGTTTTTGCTTTGGTTTCCTATCAGGATCAAAGGCTGAAGTCCAAAAACCACGATCTGGTTTCAGCCAGATTTCCTCAGATGCGTTTTCCTGCCACTCCCTATGATGTAAAAGTTCCAACCTCTCTGTTCCCTGAACCTGCCTCTGTGCCTTGGTGTCCCATCCCACTCCCTTGTGCATCTAATGGATTCCCACCTCCTCTATGAAGCCTTCTCCAAGACCCCAGGCAAAGGCATAGTCCCTGTCCTTTGAACTGCCACAGAGCATAACTCTCTCTGGGTACTTCTGTGGCCTAGTTTTCTCTAACTAGACTTTGAGATTCTCGAGGACAGGAAAATGTTCTATTTATCTTTGGATTCTCAGGGCTTAGCACAGTGTATTAGCACATAGTAGGTGCTCATTAAATATTTTAAATACACACTCAGTATGTTTTTAAGACAGTACCTGAAGGTGGTGGTAGTTGTTAGTTGCTGTTGAGTTGATTCCAACTCCCAGCGACCCCGTGTGCACAGTGTAGAACTGTTCCATACAGTTTTCAAGGCTGGGGCTTTCAGGAGCAGATTGCCAGGGCTGTCTCCCAGTGCGCTTCTGGGTGGGTTCCAACTGCCAGCCTTCGGGCTAGTTAAATCCAGGGCTTAACCACTTGTGCCACCCAGGGGCCTGTAACCAGAAATCTGGTCAAGTCAGTATCTAACATCTCAAGAAATAACAGGCTACAGATAAAATGAATACATGAATTTGAAAGGTGATCCTCAAATGTAATTTTCACACTTAGCTTTGTAAACCTCCATCTTTTCCATTGTTCCTGTTTACCTTATGTGGGTCCTCATAAGCTCCAAGACTGAAAGGGGTGAACAACAGCTATTTAAGCATCTGGGAGTGAAATGTACCAACCTACTTGGAAGTGATTGCGTTAAGTCCTTCCATATTCTGAAAGTTTAGTCCCCCAGCTAGACGTCACGGTATGGTATGTGATGGGGAGATTGTTTCTGTTTCTTTTGAATCCCTGGAAAGTTAGCTGCTGGTTTACTGACTGCTCCAGCTTTTTGTTCTGGGCAGTGCCTGCCACCTAACTTTAATGATAAGCTAAAAGTGGTAAGAAAAATGAGGTGATTTGAGGATCTGCTGCCTTGTGAAAGGAAAGGTAAAGATAAACAAAATATTATACTGATGTTCTGCCCCTCATTTTTTATATCAACAGTTGTTTGGTTCTGTTTTGATACATACAGACTTTTGATTAGAATTTTCAGTCAAGGTTCAATTGGACTTTGGATTTTTTTTTTTTACTTTAAACTTAATTAACACCATTACTGGCATGCATCAGGCACTCAGTAAATATTTTAGGTAACTAGACATTGACTTAATTGATGTTTAGAAACGGAAAAGCAAGTTTAACCTTTTTATTTTAAATTTCAGTTGATGCCACCTTCTCCCTTTCAGAATTCCATTGGTCAACTTAATGAAGTCAAGCAGGTAAGAAGACAATTTTCAAAACTGACAGCTGCTCCTTAAAAATAGATTTTATTTTTCTTTAAAAAGAAAATTCTACAGAGTTCAGTAATTCTAAAAAAGGTCTCATGTGATTAAGTTTGTAATTCCAGGAATAGTTTCTTAAAACAGAAACCTAAGGAATCCCTTCTTATTTGGCTTATTAACTATTTTCATAAATTGATTGTTTCCAGAAACACCACATATTCTTTTATCTTAGATATAGTTTCTTTATTCTGAGGATCTCAGAAAATGCTATATATAAAAATTAACTTTCAAATTCATAATAACCATAGTTACCATGTTTTTCTTAAACTCTCAGATAAACAATTTTTATTTGACAAACTGAATGGTCTTTATGCTGTCATGTTATGTTCACTTCTTAGTGGTCCAACTTCGGGGACAAGTTGTACTTCACTGGTTTATGTTTTGTGTGTGTCTAATAGCACAAGCCTAATACAGAATTAAACCTTTTAATTATCCAAGGATTAGACACAGAACTCAAAAGATCAAATCACCACCCCACTGCAGGTGGTGGGACTTTTTTTTTTTTGACCCAACCGCAAGCAGACTTTTGTCAAGGGGGCTTAACTGTTAAAACGTACTTCTGGTATTATTCACTTAGCACCGTAATAGGCACTTTACATCTATGGTCTCAGTTCATCTCACAAGCACCCTACAAGTTTAGAAACTAAAGATGGGAGAAGTTAAATCATGTACCCAAGATCCAGAGTTTCAGAGTGTTGGAGCTAAGATTTAGCCTCAGACTACTGGATTATTTCCCAGTCGGGTCCGACTTGACGGCACATAACAACAACAACAACAAAACCAGTAGTTAAAGTGAGCTTTGGTTTATCTTTGCAATTTGTTTTTGCTTCTCCTCAATTAGACTAGACATTTGAAAATTGGTTACATGTTGTTATTTTTAATCATAAAACTTCAAATATAGATAAATTTAACCATTTAAAAAAGAAAACAAAACTGCCATCTAATCAATTGTGACTCATAGTGACCCTAAAGGACAGAGTATAACTGCCCCCATAGGATTTCCAAAGCTGTCAATCATTATACAGAAGCAGACTGCCTCATCTTCCTCCCATGGAGCAGCTGGTGGGTTTGAACTGCTGACCTTGTGGAAGGCAGCTATACTCACCACTGTCCTACCTGTGCTTCTACCATGGACCTTTTGGTTAGCAACTGAATGCATTAGCCACTGCACTACCAGAGTACCTAATTTAGCTATTAATAATATAAAGTTATGCCTAACCTTTAGGAGCTCTGGTGGTGTAGTGCCTAAGGCATTTGACTACTAACCAGAAGGTTGTTGGTTCAAACCCACCAGCCACTCCACAGAAGGAAGACCAGGCAATCTACTTCCGTAAAGATTTACCACCTCAGAAACCCAAAGGGGGTCATTGTGAGTCAAGATCGACTCGATGGCAGTGAGTTTGGTTTTTATGCTTAACATTACATTTAAAATTTTAAATGTTTAGAATATATATTATGTCATTATGGGAATAACAAGCTGCTTTATAATTTATATGATTAATTTAACTGTTACTAATATAAACTATAAAGCAGCTTGTTATTTCCATAATGACATAATATATATTCTAAACATTTAAAATGAGAAACAAAAAATGAGTGAGGTGGGAATATAGAAATAACAATAACTTTCCATCTGGCTGCTGATTGAATGGAAAAGTCAGGCTTATTTTCAGTAGTCAATGATCTGATATAGCTGAAGTTGCCTAGTTCTTTACACACATCCTTTAACCATGACTTCTTTTTAAGTATTGAGCTTAACCTTTTAAGTACAAAACAGAAGTGTCTGCTTATCTCCCCATTACATTTTGAACTTCCACTCTAACAATGTTAAT